TCTCGAACCCGCGGGCTCAGGCAATCCACTCATCTCAGCCTCCCAAAGGTGCGGGATTACTGGCTGAGCCACCGAGCCCGGCTCACCCTAGGCTTTAATAGATGATGCCAACCCCCACGTCTTGGAGCCCCTCTCTCTTTTTAACTAGAGACTTCTGTGTAAGTAAACTGACATCTGGACAACTACACTCTTAAGCAGCAATTCTGTCTCAAACAATAAACCTGACTGTATCCTCCTGGTTACGACATGATCTTATTTCTAGCTCAATTACTGACCACGGTCAGGCACCCAAGTCAGCAAGCAAGGAGTTACTCTTGCCTCTCTTACCTACTGTATTCAGATAACTGCCAACTTAGCAATTCTATGTCCCAACAACTCTAATTTTTCCTTTTAGTTTCTGTCTTAGCTCAGGCTCTCTTCTATGACTCATGGATTTCTAAAAGAGCATCCAAACTTATCTAGTTTCACATTCCCCAGTGCATTCTCTACAGTGCCCAGACAGTAACCTTTCTTTCTCACAGCCAATCCCACAGAAACTGTTTAGTGGTTCCCATCATCTTCAGACTTTAATCCACATTCTGTTAAAGGTAAAGCCATTTGTAATCTAGCCACTTCCAGGCACATCTCTGCCACTGCTCAGTCATACACCTACATTGTAGCTATGACAACTATATGTGGTCTGTGGACTACACCATGATCTCACTCATGTTCCAAAACTCAAACCTAACATCTCGCCCATGAAAAGCCTTGCCACTGCCTTCTCCAGGGAGTTAAGTGTGCCTCTGCTGACTCGCCATGCTGTTTGTTATACACACCTCTCACAGTAATACTCATTAGAGGACATTATCACAAGGAAAGTGCAGTTATGATAGCTAAGAACATGGACACTGAACTCTGAAATCTGTCTATGTTTCAGCCAATGCTGTATAAATACCACTGACCCTGGGTGAAATTATTTACACATGCTCCAAGTCAGGGCATAACACCATCTACTTCATGGGTACACTGCTGTGTGAGCATGCCAAAAGGCTTTGCTCACTCCATTCTTTCCTCTCTTCAAGGAGGTTCTGGCATTAACTTATTAGTTACTGGAGCTTTGGGGACACGCATATAAAGATCAGAGAGTTGGGGAGGGGAAGGAAAATAAGAAATGAGCAGTGCTGAGCAAAGATGTGCGATGCGTTCTGGAAAGATGCATGGGAATAGCCACAAAACTCAGGTGAGTGAGTGGTGAGCTGAGTATTGCTACATCCTTCCTTTCACGGTACTGGAGAAATACAAGGATCTGATTACTTCGGACTTCAGAAAACTTTTTGGTCGGAAATATTACAGATTCACAGAAAGGTGAAAATAAGTGTACAGGAAGGTGCTGTGTGTCCTTCACCCAGCCTTTCTAATTTTATCATCGTGCATGGCTATAGCACACTGGCAAACCGTAAACATTTCACCAGTGGCGCATGGACACATCTCTGTCTGTCATGTATGTCCACACAATTGTACCACAGAGTGGCCTATGTAACCACACCCCAATCAAGATGAGTGCTTTATCATCGTCGTAACAACACTTCATGGCCACATTCACCACCCCATCCCTAACTCCACTCAACTATTCTCCATCTCAATAACCGCATTTCAAAAAAATGAAACAAAATAACTCTATTTCATAATTTTGATATATGTGGATTCATAAAACATGTAGCCTTTGGAGAGGGACTTTTTTTCACTCAGTATTATTACACTTGGTCCAAGCAAGGTATTGTATGCATTAGCAGTTCATTCTTTTTTGTGGCTGAGTAGTTTTCCATGGGATGAATATATGTAGTGGTGCGAGATAGTTTGTTCATTCATTCACACATTCAAGGAAATGTGGGTAGTTTTAAGATTTTGGCTGTTATGAGTAAAGCTGCTATGAATATTCAAAGACAAGTTTCTTAGTAAAAACAAGTTTTCTTTTCTCTGGGACATATGCCCAAGAGTGGAGTTGCTGGCTCTTGGTTTGAAGTCCATTTTCAGCTTTAAAAGGCACTGGCAAACTATTTTGCACAGTAACTGTATCATTTTACATTCCTACCAACAATGTATGGATGATTTCATTTCTTCAAAACTTCACCAGCATTTGGTTTTATCACGGCTTTGTTCTTTTTTTTGAGTAGGAGTCTTTGGGCTGGAGTGCAGTAGCACACTCACGGCTGCCACAGCCTTGACCCACTGGGCTCAGGTAATTCTTCCACCTCAGCCTCCCAAGTTGATGGAACTACAGGCATATACCACCATGCCTGGCTCATTTTTTAATTTATTGTAGAGAAGAGGTCTCATCAAGTTGCTCAGGCTTGTCTCGAACCCCCGGACTCAGACAATCCTCTCGCTTCAACCTCCCAAAGTGCTAGGATTACAGGCGTGAGCCACTGTGCCTGGCTTAATTTTAGCCATTCTGATAGGTATGCAGTGATTGTGGCTTAAGTCTGCATTTGCAAACTGCTAATGATTGAACATCTTCTCGTGCGTTTATATGCCATTGGATATTATCTTTGATGAAATGTTTAGCAAGTTTTTTGTTCATTTTCTAACTGGATGCTTTATGTTTTTAATGTTGAAATTGATGCTTCTTTATGTTTTCTAAATATAAGTCCTTTGTTGGATATGTGGTTTATATTTCTTCCAATCTGTAATTTGTATTTTCTTCTTAACAGAGTCTTTTGCAAAGCCAGAGTTTTAAATTTTGATGAAGTTCAGTCTATCAACTTTTTCCTTTTCTTATGTTCTTTGTTCTAAGTCTTAGAACTCTAGACCCTGAAATTTTCTTCTATCCTTTATTAGAAGTTTTTACAGTTTTATACCAAAGCCCACAATATTTTGAGTTAATTATTTTATAAGGTGTGAAGTTTAGACCATTTTTCTGGCCTATGGATGTCCAATTCCTCCAGCAATAATATTGAAAAGGCTCTCTCTCCTCCATTGAGTTGCCTTTCCATATTTACCAAGAAACAACGTGGCATATTTATGTGGATTATTCTGGGTTCTCCATAGTATTCCATTGATTCATGTGTCTAGCCCTTCAACAGAACTACCCTGTTTTGATTACTGTAGCTATAAATTAGCCTTAACATCAGGAAGAGTCATTTCTCCCACTTTCTTCTTCAAAACTGTTTTGGTTACCTTAAAGTTTTTCTCTTTCCATGTAAATTTTAGATTGTACCTGTCTGTATGCATCAAAATAACTTTTCTGAGTTTTTAGTAGAAATTACCTCACATCTAAAGATCAACTTAAGAACTGCCACTTTTAATATGCTGAGTCTTCTGATTCATAAACATTGTATCTCTCCATGAACTTAGCTCTTCTTAGATTTCTTTCATTAACATTTTGTCATTTTAATTACACAAATCTTGCATATGTTTTGTTATTTTTTCATTTTCTTTGGAGCACCTTTAAATAATATTGCATTTTTTGTACCAGTTTCCACTTGCTCATTGTCAATATATAAAAATTTAATAGATTTTTGTGTGTCGATCTTGTATCCTGCATCTATAATGAATTCACTTATTTGTCCTAGGAGTGTTTTGTAGTCTTGGGATTTCCTATGCAGACAATCATGTCAACTGAAAGTAGCAATTATTTTATTTCTTCTTTCCCACTGTTTTCCTTTCATTTCTTTTTCTTGTTTTATTGCAGTAACTAGAACTTACAGCACAATGTCAGATAAGAGTGGTGAAAGCACATGTCCTTGCTTTTTCCCTTACTGTGAGGGAAAGTATTCAGTCTTCTATCAGTAAGTATGATATTAGATGTAGGTCTTTTTGCAGATACCTATTATAAGGATGTTCCCCTCTATTTGTAGTGTACTGAAAGTTGTTGTTTTTCCTAATCATGAGTGATGTTGAATTTTTTCAAAAGATTTTCTGAATCAATTGATACAATCATGAATTTTCTACTTTAGACTGTCGACATGGTAGATCACATGGATTTTCAAAGACTGAAACAGACTTGTGTGTCTAGACTAAATGCCACTTGATTATGGTTGGATACAATTTACCAAAATTTTGTGGAAAATTTTTGTATTTATGTTAATGAGAGATAATGGTCTACGGGTTGGTTTTTGCATTAGGGTAATACAGGCCTCAAAATGAGTTGGGAATTGTTTACTACTATTTTCTGGAAGAGACTGTATCACTGTATCAAATTGGAATTGATCATCTTGAAATGTTTGGTAAAATTCTCCAATAAAACTATCTAGGCTTAAAGATTTTCAATAGCTCTTTAACCACAAATTCAATTTTTAAATAGTTATTGGGTTATTTAAGGTATCTATTTCAACTTGACTAGGTTTTAATAGCTTGTCAGTTTTGAAGAATTAGGTCATTTCTTCTAAGTTGTTGAATTTATCAGTGTAAAGTTGTCTATTATCCTTTTAATTGCTACAAGATCTGTAGTTATATCCTTTGTTTCATTTCTGATATTGATTTGTGTATTCTTTTTTATCTCTTTCCTCCCTCCCTCCCTCCTTCTTTTGACAAGGTCTTCCTCTGTCACCCAGGCTGGAGTGAAGTGGCACAATCATAGCTCTCTTTAACCTCAAACTCCAGGCTCAAGCGATTCTTCTGCTTCGGCCTCCTAAGTAGCTGAGACTACAGGTGTTGTGACCACATCTGGCTAATTTTTAAATATTTTTTGTTGAGATAAGGTCTGGGTATGTTGTCCAAGTTGATCTTGAAGTGAGACTCAAGCGAACCTCCTACTTTGGCCTCCCGAAGTGCCGGGATTACAGGTATGAGACACCATGCTGTACTCTTTTTCAATCTTACTGGAGATCAATTTCACTTCTACTTTTTCTAGAACTCTGCTTTTTGTTTAATTACATTTCTTAATAATATTCCTGTTTTCAATTTCATTGATTTCTACTCAATCATTTCCTCCATTCTGCTTGCTTTCAGTCTATTTTGCTCTTTTTTCAAGTATTCTGAGGTAGCAACTTAAATTACTGATTTGAGACGCTTCTTCTTTTCTAATGATGCATTTCACGCTATAATTTCCCACAAACAGTGCTTTAGCTATATCCCAAATTTTGATATGTTACATGCCTATTTTTATTCAGTTCTGTGTATGCTCAGATTTCCTTTTAGAGTTCCTCTTGGACGAATGGATTATTTGAAAGAGGGTTATTTTATTTTCAAGTGTTTGGAGAGTCTCGTTACCTTTCTGTTATCAATTCTACTCTGATTCTATTACGTGCGAAGAATATACCCTGCATAACTTATTCTGTTTGTTAAGGTTTCGTGATTCAGCACATTTCCTATCTTGGTGAATTTTCCATGGATGCTTGAAAAACATGTGTATTCTGCCATTGCCGGGTGGAATCTTACGTAAGTGCAGCCAGACCTTGGAGGTTAGTGATGGTGTTTAGCTAGTCTGCATCCCTGCTGATCTTTGGTCTGGCAGTTCTCTAAATTGCTGAGCGTGGGGTGTTAAAGTCTTCAACTATAACTGTGGGTTTATTTATCTTTTCAGTTCTATTAGTTTCTGCTTTATATGTTTTGAAGCATGGTTGTTTGATACATACACATTTGGGATAGCCAGGCATGGTGGTACGTGCCCAAGGTCCCAGCTACTTAGGAGGCTGAGGGCGAATGATCGCCTGAGACCAGGAGGTCGAGGCTACAGTGCTGCTGCGATCATGCCACTACCCTCCAGCCTGAGTCTCCTTTCTCTCTCTCTTTCTTTCTAAATTACTTTCTGAATAAACTATATTTTCCGATCTAAAAAAAAAAAAAAATAGAAATTCTTCACTTTTAGCCACATCTTTCAAAGGTAAAATTAATGTCATCTAGGGAATGAAGAAATTCTATATAGTTTTAACAGAATGAACCTTAGAAAGTCAAATAAAAATCATTCTTAAAATGCACTGCTTATGTCTAAAGCATATTTTTTAAAATGAGAACACAACAATAAATTGAAATATACCAATTTCTAATTGTAAGATGACAGCAGCATGAACACTACAGCTTTCCTTCCTGAAAATCTTAGAACAGAAAAACTGTTTTAAGTGAATATACATCAGCATTTAAATACAAGCAAAACTCTTGTAGTCCCAAGGCTTAGAGGAATCCAGAGACAAGGAAGGTACAAAAAATCAGTTTCAGGTGTGAACTCAGACACGAAAAAGCATGCCAGAAAGAGCACTACCACAGAAGGTGTGAGTAACACAAAGCTTGCTCCAAGGCATGCTGGAAGCTAAGAACATGGGGAGGGTTCATTGCAGACAACAGTGGTAACATGAGAGGGCTCTTCCAGTACGCAACCTGTCTCCACACACCAGGAAGCAGCATTAGCTACCTTGAGACAGGAGTGGTAAGAGAGAGCATAGAACGAAAGGAAGGCCATGGCTCCGGGTGGCTGGTGATACCTAGAAGAAGGGGAGTGCCCTAAGCCTGGAAAATAAGTTGTCAAGGTATATGCGCTGAGAGAATATCTCAGTGTGTCCTGTGCATCCTCCATGGTCTCTGAAAACTGCAGAAGGCAGGTCATAGTAATAGCACACTACCATATTCCCAGGGCCACTCAAACAAGGGTGATCAACAGTAGAACCGACATTCTCAAATATGAACACACTATCGAGAACATGAGGAGTGCCGGCACCATGAAATAGCAAACAAAATAAACCAAGAAAACAAGATAACATAGTCAACAGCACACTAAAAACAAGACATGGTGTGCCTCTATAAGTCAAAACCGTAAGAGTTTAATATTGAAATTATTATCTAAAACCGTAATATTTTTGGCTGGGCACAGTGGCTCACACCTGTAATTGCAGCACTTTGGGAGGCCGAGGCGGGAGGATCACTGGAGGCCAGTAGCTTGAGACCAGCCAGGACAACCTGGTGAGACCCCACCTCTACAAAAAATTAAAAAAAATAAAAATTTAAAAACCATTTAAAATAAACTTAATATTTTCTTGGATATGTCTTAATTTAGTTAACTGGCATAACTGGAGACTCCAATATAATTTTGTTTCTATTTTTGAGTAAAGGTATAGTTTTACACATATACTTACCCAAATATTTATTTCCCATTTTCTTTTTTTGAATTGGAGTCTCACTCCGTTGCCCAGGCTGGAGTGCAGTGGCACACTCACGGCCACCCTAGCGTCAACCTCCTGGGCTCAGGCGATCCTTCCGCCTCATCCTTCCAAGTAGAACTACAGGTGCGTGCTACCATGCACAGCTAATTTGTTTATTGCAGAGATGGAGGTCTCGCCAAGTTGCCCAGGCCGTTCTTGAACCTGTGGGCTCAGGCAATCCCCTCACCTCAGTCTCCCAAAGTACTGGGATTATAGGCTTGAGCCACCGTGCTTGGCCCATTTCCCATTTTTTTCCTAAAATTATTTGCTACTTAAAAGTACTCAAAACCAAAAACATTGGGGGAAAAAAACCTCAGCAATGTATAAACTAAATTCTTCAATATGAATATCTGGATTGTTGTACCCATTTCTACTCATTTTTTTTTTTTTAGGTTAGTCAAGTCATTTCTACTTTTAAGAGAAAGGACACAGCTAAAACTTACTCCTACTTAACCAAAGAAGCAATAGAATTTCACTCTTAGTATAAAAGATACAGTAGAAGAGATACACCACAACTTTATACTCTGCAAATGACTTTGGTCATCTTTACCCCCTATTATTATGTTTATAATTCTTTTTATTTACACTTACCTTGGAATACTAACACATTCAAAAATCTAAGGACAAAAAACAAAAACCCATACCATGTGTCCTTCCGCTCGAGCCTTGTTCTGCATGGCTTCCTGTTTTCGCTGCAGGAATTCTTCCACTTGTTTACCTCTTTCTACAGCTAGTTGCGCTTTCTGCCTAATTTGGAGAAATCATGAAGTCAGAATTTTGAACATAAAATATTCCAAAAAGTTAAAAATCTTGCACATTCTAAGTACACTTTTTTCCACTGCGGAATATGAAGGCTGATATGAAACTAACACTTTCTCTGTAATGAAGAAATCACTACATATATGCTGATATTTACTACCTAAATCAAATTTTGTACTATTTTAAATATTAGTAAAATCTATAATCTGCTATGGATTTGAGGAAGGCAGATACGCTTTCAGGTGTGATGCTCTGACATGTCATTTATAACCATATGAGGCTCTTCTGGGGGTCCCAGAAGTGTACACCACCATCTGCAACTAGATGAAATAGCTGATCTCTCTGTGGAGTATCCTGACGGCATCAACTTCCTCCTCTAACCTTTATGGAAGCAAACACACTTGACTTCCTATTCTAAGATACTGTCTGTGTCCAGCGTTTGCTAGCCTGAACCCCAACTGACACATGACAGTATAGCGATTGCACAGAACTGTTTTACTAAGAACTTGGGCAGATGTATAACAGCTTTGACTTACAGATTTTCACATCATTTATGCATATATAATACCACTACCTGCCCTATGTATTTATATAACTTATAAGTGTTGCTTCACTGAACAATCATTTCCTAAGCTGGTTAAATTAAGGAGGTATAATCCCATTATCTTCTTAACCAGAAAAGTGAAAGACCTTTATAACAAAAACTACAAAACACTGCTCAAAGAAATCAAAGATGACACAAACAAATGGAAAAAATATTCCATGCTTATGGATTAGAAGAATCAGCATTGTTAAGATATCCATCCTACCCAAGGCAATCTATAGATTCAACGCAATACCCATTAAATTACCAATATCATTCTTCTCAGATCTGGAAATGATGATACAGAAATTCATATGGACACAAAAATGACCATGAATACCCAAAACAATCCTCAGCAAAAGAAACAAAGTGGAAGGTATTACATTTCTAGATTTTAAACTTTTTTATAAGGCTACAATAATCAAAACAGCCTGGTATTGGTACAAGACAGGCATATAGACCAATGGAACAGGACAGAGATTCCAGAAGCAAAACCTCAATTTCTCAACCAACTCATCTTTAACAAAGCCTCCACCACCAATAGCCACTAGGGAGAAGAAAAACTTATTCATTTAACGATGCTGGGAAAATGGGCTGACCACATGTGAGAGAATGAAACAGGACCGTACCTATCAGCACACACAAAAATCAATTCCAAGTGGATCAAAGACCTAAATGGAAAACCTCAAACTTTAGGAATCTTAGAAAATACAGGAGACACCCTTATAGACATTGGAATAGGCAACCAATTTCTGATCATAACCCCAAAAGCCCATGACATGAGATGAGATAAGATTGACAAGTGGAACTTGTCAAACTGAAAAGCTTTTTTTTTTTTTCCCAGTAGGAGTTTCACTCTGTTGCCCAGGCTGGAGCACAGTGGCATGCTCATGGCCACCACAGCCTCGACTTGCTGGGCTCAGGAGATCCTTCCACTTTAGCCTTCCAAGTAGGTGGAACCACAGGCACGCACCAGCACACCTAGCTAATTTTTTTTATGTATTGTAGAGATGAGGTCTCGCCAAATTGCCCCCGGCTGGTCTTGAACCCCTGAACTCAGGCAATCCTTTCACCTCAGCCTCCCAAAGTGCTGGGATCACAGGTGTGTTTGGTGCCCAGCCAAACTGAAAAGTTTTTGCAAAGCAAAAGAAACCATCAAGAGAGCAGGGAGACAGTCCACAGAATGAGGAAAAAATATTTGCCAACTGTATATCTAACAAAGGCCTAACATCCAAGATCTACAAGGAACTCAAACACGCCAAAAGAAACCAACAGCCCCATTAAAGAGTGGGCAAAAGACATGAAAAGACACCTCTCAAAAGAAGACATGAACAGTCAACAGATACATGAAAAAATGCTTAGCCTCACTAATCATCAAAGAAATGCAAATCAAAACCACACCAATCCTGGTCAGGATGGCCATCATCAATAACTCAAAAAACAACAGATGCTGGAGAGGATGCGGAGAAAAGGGAACACTTCTACACTGTTGGTAGGAGTGTAAATTAGTACAACCTCTGTGGAAAACAGTGTGGTGATTTCTAAAAGACCTAGAAATTGACCTTCTTTATGTCCCTGCAATCTTTCTTCTGGGAACAGACCCAGAGAAACTCAAACCATTCTACAAAAAAGATACCTGCGCACACATGTTTACTGCACCACTACTCACAATAGCAAAAATATGGAATCAAGCATGCTGCCCACCGAAAGTGGACTGAATTCTTTTAATGTGGTACATATACACGATGGAATGTTATGCAGACATAGAGGAGGATAAAATTATGGACTTTGCAGCAACTCTGATGGATGTAAAGTCTATCACACTCAGTGATCTATCACAAAAACAAAAAGCTGAGTACGCATGTTCTTACTCACAAGTAGCCCCTGAGCATGTATCATCATGCTACAAGAAAGGGACTGGCCGTAGTGGGCACTGCGGGGGGAGGAGGAGGGGGCACATGACATCCACAGGGGCACCTGATCCTAGACCAGGAGAGATGAGGACCAATGGGAAGCCCAAACTTCAACTGTCTGCAGACCACTTCAGTGCCTAAACCTGACTTACACCCTACATCCAAATAAAATAAAATAAAACATAAAATAAAAAATATACATATACAGGTATACCTTACTAGCGGCTTTTAAACACAGACTTAATACCTGTAGTGACTCTATTTAACACTGCTTTGTTTTTCCTCTCATTTATCAAACAAACACTTACTGAGTGTCAATGATTTTGCCACATTATACCTGTCCAAAGATAGAAAGATGAATAAAAATAAAGGCAAGTTTGGCTCAACATATAAAAATCAAAGTAATACACCATATTAATAGAATAAAAGGCCAGATTAGTTTATCGCTCTTTATGAAGTTTAAAAACATAAACTCAGTGTCTTTATTTTTCACATGCCTTATTGTTTGCTGCATCATGTACACCAAAGAGAACCCGTAATTCATATGCCTATTCCTCTAAAGTAGTACAACTGTGCTAAACAGTGGGCACAAACTAGGCTCATGGAGAAAAAGACACACCAGGCTTTGTGTTGGGCTCACAGGAATAAAGAGAAAATAGTCAAATTACTTCTTCACATTCTCTCTTCATTAGACATTATTAAGAATTCATATCAGCATGCTCTGTTTCATAAAAATTAGATTATTTATTTTGAGTTCCAAAGTTATACCACTTGAAATCAGTAGAACATTGACTAGACTAATAACAAAAAGAATGTTAATATAAACACAAATATACAGTCAATAAGTAGAACTTTAGATTTAAAATACAAAGACACTAAAATAGGCTTAAAAAGTGTTATACAAAATAAGGGATATCAAAAAGTGAGATAACAGAAGTATAGCTTTCTTTTATTGAGAAATAATTATTCTAAGACAAACTTTCCTTTTTTTTTATCTTAACAAGAAGGGGAAAAGAAACAGAGTACGTTTTCTTTTCTTTTCATATTGTAAACGCATAAATCAGTAGCAAGATCTAAGTGGAGACTTCATAGCCATCCATGAGTCAAATTCTTTACTGCTAAGAGAAATATAAAATTTTTGAAGAATGATTATAAATTGAGTATCTTAGAAGACGAAGACAACTTTAAACAGCTAGCACTCTAAGTAACAGAAATAATCTGAGAAATAAAAGCGAGTCAGTATAATGTAAAGCAGAAGAGCTAGGGAGGTAAAATGAGATGAAAAAGTTATGCAAACGTTTATCCATTCAGATTCCTCCCAGTATAATGTCTATCTGATGGAATGAAATTGTTGCTAGCTTTATCCAAATTAAATGAAGCAATGCAGAGAAAAAGACTGGAAAAGTAAAAGCACTATAAAAACGCACATGTTAAGAGGCACTCAATAAGTTTTATAAAATGGTCTTATGTGGCTTGAGCTCCTGACATGAAAAAGCAAATAGAAGAGGTATGCTTTCAAGACATGGACAGATGCAAAGTCAGACAGGCCAGAGATGCTGCTAAGAAAGGAAGAAGAAAAATAAAAAAGGAACAGGCAAACATGGGTGATTCAAAATATGAGGAAAAGAGAATGTGAAAGAGTCCTAGATGACTACAGATTTCAGTTTACTGATTCAGTTTGAACCAAGGGAAAGAGTTAACCAGGAATGACAATGATATCAAAACTATAATTACCAGAAATCATGACAGTGGAGAAAATGTTCCATAATGTCACTGATCACTAAAAAGTACAAGACAAAAGAATTACAATATTCAGATTACAAGAGACTCCGGGTATTAACTAGTCCAACTATTCATTGAATAAAGTGTTCCCACATTATCATCTAAACACCCCTGATACACTGTCATTTAGCTCTCTGGTTAATGCTTCCAGTTTGAAGATATTCAGTAAATCCCATGATGATCTGCTCTTTGAACAGCCCCCATGACAGACTGAAATTCGTGTCCCACTTCTCTTAGTTTTAATAATTCTACCTTGTAGAAATATAAAGAAGTCTAATTCCTCTTCCACATGACAAGTCACCCACTTCTTCCAAGCTTGCTCTTTTAACCACACTTTCTTTAATGCTGGCTAAATTCCCAGTTTCTTTCATTGTTCCCTGTAAAATGTTCCAAAGCTCAGAAAAGTCAATATGGTACAAGTGTTAAGTGAGTGAACCTAGGAGCCAAACCGTCCAACACCAACTCCAGGTTTCACTCATAAATAGTTATGTGACCTTCAACAAATAATCACACACTATCTCATTTCTTAACCTATAAAACAGAAAGAATAATAACTCTTGCCTCATGACATTGGTGATTAAAGCAGTTAATAACACATTCTGTTATCATTATTCTTGGTAGTTATGTTCTATAAAGTTACCATGAATACTGAGTTAGCGAATACTGAACCACTGCTTCTAGGGAAATTACCAAGTGAGCCTTCTGTCAGG